GTTGCAAACGAGCCCAAAGACTAGAAACACCGTTCGGAAGGACATAAATCTTGTGGGCTACCGACTGAATTTCCGCTCGATTTGTCCGTTACAAAAACAGGCTTAGGAATGTGCTGTCTTCAGGTTATTATTGCTTTTGAACGTCTTCAGGAATAATCCTACTTCAAAGTAAATTACGTATTTATTATCTTTTTTATGTTAACCCTCCTCAGTCTTATTCATAACGTCGCTCGCGTTATCTCGATCAACTTATTACCATAAAGTGCAGCAGATATGTAAGTGGACACAAATCTGCTTGAACTTTTTAGCCTTCGTGAGCACTTGACTTGCAAGTATGCCTTATTTTTATGTCATCTACCAGCAACAAAAGTCCTCGCGGTTTGTCGGGTTGATAACACTTTTGGGAGTGCTGTTGCGTGACCATGGTACCACAGGGGTCACGAGTGGCTGCCGTATTTCATAATCAACAGGTATAAACTGCAGCTCTCATTACCTAGCAATAACAATAAGTTATTTGACCTAACCCACAATTTGTCATTGAAGAGGGTGGTGGGTTATGCAAGGGTGAGACTAATTAATTGATGAGAAACCGGTCCGCAATTAATGCCACTTTGCGCTGCATTTGGGGATGATTTGACGTAACACCGCGAAATGCAGCCATTAACATCTGTTTTTTTAATAATGCACTGAGTCCAGCGGATTTTTTGTCTGCCTAAAACTAAAATTTTGAGACTAAAGTTGCTCTATTGAGGCTTCGGAACCAGCAATGGACTCTAGCGAGAGAAAGACCTCGGTATGCCTAGAGCACTAAGAAGTCGTGAAAAAGAAAACCACAGATTGACTAGCAGTTGAAACAGAAGGGAAAGTCAACTCTTGCTGATTCGGGTTTTCGCATACTTTCCCCACCACATCACCTGGCCTGTGCCATGCCTCTTGCCTATCTGGCCTCCCTTCTTACCTTTCGTTCTACCGTCACTAGCTGATTACGTCTGTTAGAGTGAATCTCTGCACGTGACTTAGGGGTGAAAAGAGATATCGGATGCTGCTGCATAGGCCAGTGGAATGGAGAACCTTCCTCCTCCTCCTCCTCGAATGCTCTCAAGCTTGTGACTTTGGCATACACAAACAATTCAGAGTTAATGATGCTCGAATGTCGAGGGCAAACTGGGTGCAATAGCCATGGAGAGGGTGGGTGACTATCGAGGTGGGAAATTTTGTGACGTCGTTGAGATGATGTGCGCACAAACCTGAGGAGCCGGTGCATTTCACGCGTTGCAGAGCAATGAGGCGATCCGCTGTGGCAAATAATCCGAAGTGTAAAATCCACGTTGTTTCAGCGGACCCGCTTTGTTCGAATTTCCGCCCATACCTTTACAACTCGGAATTCCGGTACGCTATCAAGGTTTGGAGTGCACCAGCACCACCATTGAGGGACAGTGTTGGTGATGTTTGAGCCAAATTTGTGAGCCGAAGGAGGAATGAGGGCATTTCAGACAGTCTTATTCCATGAACAGGCCTTCACATCCCGTAATCGCATGTCATTTGGCTTTGAAAAGGGTCAGTTTGAAGGGATCGGTGTGTGCTTTCTTGTGCATTGTAGGAACGAGGAGGAGGAGAAGAAGAAGAAGAAAAAGAAGGCATAACTGAGCAAGTGCAGGTGCGCCTGCGTCTTTGCCTTGCACTCGGGGGGGAGAGGGAGGGGGAGGAGGAGGTGTGATACCCATGCTTTGCGCATCCATCAAGGCAAACACTAACAGTTCAAAGTTGCTGGTGGGTGAATAGTGAAGGTGGACTGAAGGAGGTTGACGGAAGGGAAGGTCGAACGTCGGGTTCAGTTTGTGAATTGGCGCCATCAATACCTGATGAATGTAATTCGTATCAATAGTTCTAATGATGTGGCGTTTAAACATAAAAAACAATGAAGATTTATCATGTCGTTTACATTTTTATGTCCATATTTACAATGTCACTTGGCTAGTTAATGCGGATTCTTAAAAAGCTTTAGTCCTTCGTAAATCCCATTATTATTGCTTGAAATTTCCTTCGAACAAATTCTGAAATTCATTTTACCTTCCTTTTTGCCACAGCTGACGTGCCTGCGTCTGACAGAAGGTCTCTCGCTGAACACTCTAGCATCATACGCCACTACTCTCTCTCAACTCACTGCCGCTGTCCTTGCTTTTGATGATTTGGAGGTGGAGATGGAGGAAAATGCGAAGGCTTGCGGGTCGTTGATAGCGCCATCCTATCTTCTTCATCTCACAGACGCTCCGGCGCGTCTGCAATTTATCTTATCTCTCGTCGCACACTGGCTCCCTCGTCACCTCCTGCGTCTCGCCTCCGAACAATCGCATGTTGAGTGTCGGCAGCTTCTTGAGGTGCAATTCTGCTTTACCTTTGTCTCTCATCCTATTGCATCCCACACGATTTTAGAATAGGATCGCTGCAACAGCGGAGGCCTTTTGAGTTCCAAAAAATACTAGAGTCTAGAATGGATTTTTAATGTTGTGAAACGTCTTCAGTTTTGCAAATTTTCACCCCTGAAGGATGTGGTGTTTTAATTCCCCTTGTGCATTCGGCTCTTTAATTTGTCCTCAATGTTTGCTCTCTTTTGTCAACATTTATTTGGACATTGAGGTCATTTGAAAGATCTCTTAGTTCTTCCTCCTTATTCGGGTTTATACCCACATAAATCGGTTAATAGCTATGGCTGGGCAATTAAAGTCACTTCACCATAGCCTAAACTTTCATTGGAAAGTAACGTCATAACAGCACCAAATCATACGCAGTTTTGTTTTTTGTCTAACACTTTGAAGCAACTCTTCCAACCGCACCCGATCAGTGCTTTGAGGGAGATGAATGCCGCCACCAGACACTGTCGCTCTAATTTTTGGACCTTGCGGCGGATGTCCCCATCGTTTGATGAGTGTGCACTTTTTCATCCTTATTGTGTTCCGCATTCGCCAGCATGCATTTCAGACATGACTGCTACTGTTTCAAGCTAAATGATGAAGTTCCGCCATATTGTCATGCTATTCAAATGTCACAAAGTGTCTTTTTTTTCTGTGTGCTGATGTTGAGTGTCGAGGGGATTGCTGGATGTCTTAAAACTTTTTAAGGCGCACATCACTGTTTTCCAAGAAAATTGTGCTTTTGTCAATGAGTGGTAAACGGCAGATAAAATTTTCAGACCGTGCAGTTCCCACTGTGACATTGATACAACTGGAAAGTGCGCAATGAAAGCTCCCTCATCGGTCACCGAAATGTGTGGGTTCAGTCACTGTAGCATAATACCAAATGGTTTTGCAAGGCTTATCTAAAGGAAAGTTTTCAGTTTGGTTTCTCACATTCTACTCTTATTATGACTTTCTCTTTCCAGTGG